GCCCTCGTTGGCGTGACTTTCCTCTCCGGTGGTCAGTCTGAGGAGATGGCTTCCGTCAACCTCAACGCCATGAATGTCCTCCCTAAGGAGCGTCGCCCTTGGGTCCTCACCTTCTCTTATGGCCGTGCCCTTCAGGCTTCTACCATCAAGACTTGGGCTGGTAAGGCCGAGAACACCAAGGCTGCCCAGGCTGTCTTGCTCGCCCGCGCCAAGGCCAACTCTGAGGCTCAGCTCGGTAAGTACCAGGGTTCTTCCGATGCCACTGCCAACGAGTCCAACTATGTCAAGAACTATGTCTACTAAGCTCCTTGACGTTCGTTCCTAGATGGTAGAGTGAGGTCTTGTGATGATGGACTAGTCTGCGAATGACTGAGTCGCGTTTTACGCATTCGAGTTCCTTGTTCTATACATTAATGGTTTCTCTCTAATATTCGACGCCTGGAAGGGTTGTCACAAACCGTGTAGCACGACTACTTGTATTGGATTTGAGTTAGTCAATTGGACAGTAGTGACCATGGTCATTGCGATTCGAATACCCTCGAGGATGTGGATGGGAGGGTAGTCGAAGGTTTTTTAGGCGACGGTGTAAAGGATCCGGAAGACTTTTCTTGATGACCATTAGACTTATGGATTCTTCGGGAACTTCGCACTGATACCGGGGCTTGATTCATGGATAAAGCAGCGATGAACCTCGTTTTCTGTACTTCGTCGGTTGAAGGGAAGCTTCGCTCTTTCGTTAGTTCATCTCAAGCCGAAGTATGCGATGGATGTTGATGAGAACCTTGAGCATCGGGACTATACGAATGAATATGTTGGTCAGCGATACATTCTACGGCTTCTGCAACAGATAGGAGATGGACCTAACAGAATTTCCAAGGGTTCTGGAAAGTTCTAAAGGAAGTTCTCCTCGAACTTCCTTTCTCCTATTCAAGAGTTATCCCCCCTGAGGAGAACTCTCTTGAGTTCTAGCTGAATTATGACCCTCCGACTCGCTGGTTTCATCATTCCAACGGCTTGTGTCACGAAGCGATGGATTATAGCCATCGGGCCTATATATGAGACTGTGGAACGAGTCGTCAAGCCTTGTCCGCGTTACTATCACATTCCTTATGGACGTGGACGAGGTGGAGCTCCTACTGAACAGTATCGAATTTGATACAGCGAGGCAACACGAGGGTAGTCGAGGCCTGATAGAAAACGGCGATCAACCCCGTTTGGATGAGCTCTTAGCCGAACTCGATAGTGTGGTGATACGCCCGAGTTGCCACTGGCAGAAGGATGCCGAGTCTTAGGTAGGCGTCCGTGAAGAGCTGCGGCAGCACCAGAGCACCGCCGATAACACGGAGAAGTAGTTGTCGTTGATATCAAGCTGGTCTCGAGTTGGTGTACAGTAGACACACCCCTGCGAGCCCTCGTCGATGTACTGTCGTCTACGTTGGAGCTCGTGCTGCTCGTCCAGGCAGGAAGAGAGTAGTGATGCGCGGATCCGTCGACTCACCCAGGAGATCCGTCCTAAGCTAGACCCTAAGGATGGATCTCCTGAGTGTTCAGTGCCGAAGTCGCCCTCAGAGGGCCTCTATACTGCAGTACAGCACTCAGAGATCAGGTATGTGATAATATCAGATGCCTCACTTGCGACAAACGAGTTATCACACTTGTTGGTAAGCGATGGACTAGGTGAGGAGCATTGCTCATTCTCTGAGAGGGTATCTTTCCAGAGATGCCGACTATATGTTCTTTCGGAACTACTATCCAATTGAAGAGATGCTCGAGAGGGCCACAATGAGGAGCTGGGATCATACTGCATATTGCTGCCAGTGCCGAGGACTGGTAAGGACACCTCGGGGAGCTATCAGTACTCATTTCGAGATCACTTGGCGGTGCATACCAACGACGTGATGTCGCCGAATGATGGTATGGAGCATTCCCTCAGTCGACCAACTCGTC